CAAAAAACTGCTCATTCGTTATACACACTTATTTGTAAGCATACACACACAGAAATGGATACAATCCCCTTTGTTACATTCAGCTATTACAATACAAATAAAAGCAGCATGAATTGGCACAGAATTTCATATTTGTCACAAACCTGAGATTATGATTCAATACCAGCTGACAACATAGTTTGCTTTGTGTAGGGCAACATAACCTCAATATAATCTTTTTTGGCACAGAGGTTTTGTGGCAGGGAGAGGGGAAGAGAAATGAGCAAAGAATTGCTACGCAGCTCAAAAGAAAAACGAAAAAAAAAGTTTGGGTAGAAAAAAGTTAAGAAGGGGGCAACAGGACAAAAAAAAAAAAAAAGGAGAAAATCTCTGGAAGGAGAAACAGCATCAACAGAAGTTTAGCAAGGGGACTTCAATTCTAGATAAAAGTCCTGAGATTTAATACAAAGAGATAAGTAATGAAAAGAATATAATACTGGAACTTTAACTACCCTCTAAAACAATACATAACATTCATGAAGAACAGTCTCATGAGTGTCAGTTACCATAACTTAACAAATAAAAGTCAAGCAAAATTCAGAATCACATTCAAGTGTGTAAGAACGCATTTCAAATCGTACTCACCAACATATTTCACGAAATTCATAACATTGTGGACAGTCATATTTAACACCCGAGATTATGATTCAATACTAGCTGATGACATATTTTGCTTCCTGTAGGGCAGCTCTCAATATAATCTTCACCTTAAATTTTGTATGCAAACATTAAAACAGTATCAGATTTACTGACCTAAAGATACCACTATGAAAATGAGTGTCAAATAAAAATATTTGAAAAATAAAGACCTCGAGCTTCCATGCAAGCAAAAGAAAAGTAGAAAGGTGGGCCACTAAAGAATGTTAGTTAGTCCTCTCACTCCAACTCTTAACCATATTTTTGCTATCACTGAACAGCATGCACATACACTTAAATGGGAAAAAAAAAGCACCGCTTGTCCCTACAACCACACATCACTGAACTACTTACTACAGCCCAGGTGAGAAGTGGAAAACAGCAAAGCACTGCTTTGGACATGCAGCTAGCTTCACCACTGAAGCAAACACATTCTATGACTATACCCTCAAACACAAGCCTTCTGTCTTTGCTTTCAAAGTCCTTCATAACCGGTCTGCATACCATATCTGCCATCTCAATCATTTCCCAGTCAAGATCAATTTCTTCTTTCAGCATTCCTTGATGACAGTCTCTACTGATTGTCAGATAAGAATATGTCTGTTATTCTGACAGTCATGCTTGTGGGCTGTTCTCCAACACTTCCACAAAGTTATTATATTCCTTCAAAAGCTTCTTTGTAATGCCTCATAAAACAAACAGTGCTTATTTGTCTGTATGCTGATCCAAACAACTACTTGGTTTCCCTGTGCCCCTCTAAGTGCTTGTATCTAACAGTCTTCTCTGATTCAGTAATTAGTTATCCTTGGGGTAGAGAGAGTTTTCATCTTCATATGCATCAGCATATTCCTGACGCACTGTGTCCTGATTAAAGGCAAGGACTCAAAAGCAAGGCAGTAATACAGATAATACATTTCTCCTTGAATCTCCTCATTTGCGTCAGTTCCAAGACTAAAAGCCACAGAATTCAAGGCTGAATGTAAAGAGGACTAGTCTTGTGGTTAGTAGTAATGTCAGGAAGGTGAAGGAAACAGACACAGGCTTGTCCTTCCCAATTCACACCAACTGAATTTAAAGCCTCCGGTTTGGGCACAGAGGTATTGTGGCACAGAGCGGGGAAGCGAAACGAGCAAAGAATTTCACATAGCTTAAAAAAATAAAAGGAAAAAAAAGTTTGGGTAGAAAAGGAAAAAGTTAAGAAGGGTGCAACAGGACCAAAAAAAAAGGAAAAAAACTAGGGGGAGAAACAGCATCAACAGAGGTTTAGCAAGGGGACTTCAATTCTAGATAACAGTCCTGAGATTTAATACAAAGAGATAAGTAATGAAAAGAATATAACACTGGAACTTTAACTACCCTCTAAAACCATACATAACATTCATGAAGAACAGTCTCATGGGAGTCTGTTACCATGACTTAACAAATACAAGTCAAGCAAAATTCAGCAGCATATTCAAGTGTGTAACATTTCAAATAGTACTTACCAGCATCTTTCACAAAATTGATAACATTACAGTCATACTTTAAATTCTCAGTGCTGCATAAGATTACATTCATGAGCAAAACAGGCACAGTTGCATTAAGCTGACAGACATCAAAACACATTGCAAAATGCTTCACACCCAATTTCTACTTCAATTACTGGTATTAACCAAAGGCATAACCAAAAGAGCATATACAAAGCATGTTCAATAGAACATCACTTTTATCACTGCAAAGTTCTACTCCTAATGCACTTAAGTTTCATTTTCTTATAAAATAGCCATAATGATTTCACATTCTGGTTTTAGAAGTGGTACTATCACCTGCAGAGAAAAAGTACAGAATAAAAAGGGGAAAAGCGATGACCTTCAAATGCTCAAACTTCAAAATTCGCCAAAAATACACCTAATACTGCACTATGCATTTTGTATATCACTGGGTGAACTTGCCACTTATACAACACTCATCCTTAGAAAAGGATAATATTAGCATAAAACTAGAAGTTGAGCCATTACTGTATACTCCAAACTTTGACCTCAGCAGAGGAGATGCTGCAGTAGTATAAACAACAGAAAAACAACCAAACTAACACTGAAACTGAACTAACAAATACGTAGCATCAGAGTAAAGCACAGACGTACAAAAGCATTCCCAAGGGGTTGACACTCTTCAAAGACATACAAAAGGAGAGAGGTTTTTTGCTCACAAAAATCTGTAGGGTCCACTGGACAACAGCTTCAAAAAATGCCATGTATTTTAATCCCCATACATCTTCAAAATAAACATTTTTTGAAATAGCCCCTTTCCAAAGAATAGACATCACACTAAGTTGAGGTCAAAAATTGTATTTTTTGCTCAAGTGATACCACGCACGTGCTGATCACAAGTTTCATCTGAGGAAGTAAATGCAGGACCAAACCAATACATTTCTGAGAACTAAACTAAACTTCCTCACTAATTATGCTCTTTGCTGACAAGAAGTTCTTGGCAGAACAGTTCCAGTTGGAGCTAAATTCACTGAAAGTTCATTTTACTACCACAGAAATATTCTATTTCATTCAGGTTTTTTATCCACTGATTACAAAGATTTTTATGACAACTGGTTTTAGCCAAGTACGCTGTCACGCTGGAAGTTATAACGCAAGAATTTGTCAAAACATTTTCTTTTTATAAAACACTTTCAAATAGTAATTTAAGAAACAAAATTCAAGCTGTCAATTTTTTAAACCATATCCTCAGAAAACAGCATAAAACTGTTTTCATTTACATTCTTGTTAGTCAAAGATAATCCTTCTATGGAACGGACCCAAATTTTACCCTCCTGAGTGTACATGCCACTGAATAATTTGTTCAAATGTCAGTTGCAATTTTCAAAAATCCTTTCTTGCCTCTGAATCTTAAACATCTGTAACAAATACTTGTTTTGAGAGTGCTTTACATTCGTGACACTTGACCTTTTGCTGTATGCACCACAAAATTTAAGTTTCAAATACCATGCAAGCAGGAAATCTGATCATTCCAGCAGTAGCCGTCTGCATGGTCCAACATCAAATATTAGTTCTGGGTTGCACAAAGTCATGGGCTACACATCTTTTTCTGCAACTTCTATAATTAGTTGTAATTTGCTGCTTCTAAAACACATTTCTCACGGAACATCTGGCCTCGAAATCTTACCTTAACAGCGGAAAAGTACTTAGCATTTGGCTGCTGTTGTGCATACACGTGTGTATATGCACATACATGTATGCACATAGATAAAGTGGACCTACAGAACGTGAGCATATTCTGTGTGGGTGGCATGCCTAGGACTAGAGATTTCTACTCCAGCAACAAAAGCTTTTTAGCTCTGGAATTATAGAAGAATATTACAAGAATTATCAAACACAACGCAAACGTGTTTTCCAACATTCGTGCTGCCTTGTATCTGATTATTGATATTCAATGTTAACAGGTCACCAAGCAGCCTAGCAAACACTTGAGAGCTTTGCACAAATTGGAATTTTCTTTTGCATGATCCTTCATACAACTGGAGGATGCTACGCTGAAATTAAAATGTGACCAAGGCTTAAAATAAAAGGAAAAAAAAAAAAACACACACACCCCACACCATAAAACCTCTCTAGAGTTAACGTACCACATTGACAACAAAAAAAGAAACAAACACCACTAGCTCAACATTAACATGCCCAAGTACTTTTTGTTAACTAAGTTAGACTTATAACAAGATTGAGCCACTGCACATTTCAGCTTCATTGTGTCAGAAAGATATCTTTCCTAAGCCTGTAAAATGGTGTAACGGACTAATTATTGCAAACAACTAAACAAGAAGCCCTTTGAGACCCTTACACGTAGGAAGTCTTCCTAGTACACTCAAGCAAGCACTATAACTTCTAAAGGGAAAAGAGAATTACACTCCAGGATCTTTAAAGCACTCCTTCAATAACAACAACACATCTTTTGAAAAACGCCTAATGCTCAGTGGTGCCACACACAGCTGTCTCAAGCAACCAGCACTGCTTCTTGGGAGGCAGAAGCTGGAAGTACACAGAACACTGTATTATTCCTGAAATCCATTTCTTGCCTAGTCATAGGAAAAATCTGGCAGAGCACTCAACACAGTTTTACATCTGCAAGAACATAGCTACAGCTAACAAAGAATTGAAAATATGCATAAAGGAAGATACTAGCCATGATGAGAATAACAATCTTAGCCTCTCAGAAAATAACAGGGACCACAACTTCACATGCCTGACCCTTCAGATAGCTTTAAAGATGGTGAGCTATAGGAGCTATTATTCTCATCAACCTCTCAATGCTAGAAAAGCATTTACCACACTTCTTACCTGAGCTCCATCCTTTAATTTCAAAATGCATTCCATTGTGTTGATAGTGATGACAACTGGTTCTGATCCCAATTTTGTCCATGGCACGTGAATCCGAAGTTCATGAATATGCCCGCTTAGAAAAGTAAATGGTAGTTTCAGCTCCTAACAACAACAAAAAGAGTAGTGAATTACCTACTGAAACATACCAAAATTCAAAACACATTTCTGACTTAAAATACTACAGTTCTAGCACAAAACATAAGTCAAAATTTATTCTCCCTCTTCAAATCAGCCATGTGCCATGGGACTTGGCAACTGGCTTTATAATTGCTTGCACACTTACATTGCAATTATTCTGTTCAAAGGAGACATGTGGATTACCATGTCCTTGATAATAAAACACAGTTTAAAACCATCTCTCACATGAAGCTACTGCAAAATATGTCGCTATTCAAGGGACAAGTAGAAATGAACCAGGTGGAAGTAAACACTTAAAGTGGTCTGCCACCTGCACTATTCTGAAGAACGCCAATTTGGAATTAAACAAATATTGACAAAGCCACAGCAAGGCAATTTCTTCCAAAATATTTTAGTACTTTGAGTTGTAAGAGCTCGGTGCTCTTAAGATTGGCCCATTGTTGTGCCGTTCACATCAAACTGCTTAGTAAATACAAAGTTATTTAATTCTTCGTTGGCAAAACCAGACTCCTCCTCACCAAGGTCTAATGTGGATGTCACACAGCTTTAAACACCGATGCAATTCAGTCCAGAACTGAAAACAAATGCCTGGCACTCCACCCAGTTAACGCATAGGTCACATCTCTGTAGGACAGCCCCAGTGAGCCAGCTGCTGCATGCAGCGAGTCAGCAGAAAACAAGGTGCCAAACTTTAGATAAATTCTTTGGGATACAAAGTGTTGAAATTTCCCCAGTAGCTTCACGGGTTCTCCTGGGAAGCATGAGCTTAACGCTTATCAGACAGGTCAGACAAGAGACCTGGTCCCAGGACTAGAAATCAAGATTTAAAATAATGAAAATAAGTGCTTAGTGCAAAATAAAGAAATAATATTTCATATTATGTCAGAATTAAGTCAGCATTCACAATACTAAGTATTCTAACGAGGCTTTAATGATGATATACATTCTCAGTTTGCTGATCTCCTATCCTGACATTTTTGGCTATAAAGGTTTAAAGTTTTAATGAGGAAAAAACAACTGATGTCTTCACCAGGAGTTACTTATAGCCTGGCATTTGTGTCTTCATCTTAGATGATGGGAACTACAGATGTGAATCTTGTCAGGTTGACAAATAAGTGAATCTAAGTCTCCCAGACACTGGGTGATAGTTTTGGCCATGAGAATAGAATATTTTCAGTTGGAAGGGACCTACAACGATCATCTAGTCCAACTGCCTGACCACTTCAGGGCTGACCAAAGGTTAAAGGATGTTGTTGAGGGCATTGTCCAAATGCCTCTTCAACACTGACAGGCTTGGGGCATCGGCCACCTCTCTAGGAAGCCTGTTCCAGGGTTTGACCACCCTCTCAGTAAAGAAATGCTTCTTAACGTCCAGTCTGAACCTCCCCTAGTGCAGCTCTGAACCATTCCCAGTCCTGTCACTGGATACCAGTGAGAAGAGATCAGCACCTCCCTCTCCATGTCCCCTCCTCAGGAAGCTGTAGGGAGCAACAAGGTCACCCCTCGCCCTCCTTTTCTCCAAACTAGGCAAGTCCAGAGTCCTCAGCCGCTCCTCAGAGAACATGCCTTCCAGCCCTGTCACCAGCTTTGTTGCCCTCCTCTGGATGCATTCAAGGACCTTCACATCCTTAAATTGTGGGACCCAGAACAGCACAGAGTGCTCGAGGTGAGACCACGCCAACGCTGAACACAGTGGGATAGTCACCTCTTTTGACTGCCTGGTTACGCTGTGTTTGATGCAGCCAAGGATGCTGTTTGCCCTCTTGGCTGCCAGGGCACGCTGCTGACTTGTACTGGGCCTGCTGGTGATCAGCACCCCCAGGTTCTTAGCTGTTGTGTGTCTTAGTAAACTCAGGGACATACAATCCTTTGTTCAGAACTTCAGAATTTCCCCAGCAAAACCAGGCAACCCAGGGCTTAAGCACCTTTGCACCTCATCTCAGCTCAGGTACTTACATGCTTCGACTCAGTACTCCTACAAATGAGTACAAGTTAAATAGAGAGGGTCCCTGAAACTCTGAGGTCAGGCAGGCAAGTTGCTAGGGAATTCCCAACAAATATCTAGCAGTGGATGCAGAAAGCCTGTTTTCTTGCACTGCTTGATCCTAGACCTATCCCTGCTGTATACAAGGTCTGTACGAATAAACTTTGAGGACAAGTGGATTTTGTATTTAGTACTTGTCATATATTATAAAGTCTACCTATAGAATATTTCTGTAAAGCTAGTTAGTGTTATTATTAGCCTACCATCTTGAAGCTGTAATAAAACCTTAGCAACATGTTTTGAAAGCCCACTAAATTTTTTTTTTTTAAGTAGTTACTATGTCATAAGCTCAGAGTTGAAATAACCACTATTGCAACTGTGACAGCTCAGCATCCTGAGATAGCCTCTAATTAGTCACCCAAAAGTGAAGTCAACTGTTCTTGCACATGAATACCTAGCACCTCACAGCAACAACAGCTGCTAAAAGGAGCAGTTTTAAGGAACACTCTCTCCATTCTGCAGCTGATACCTCCTCAGCCTTTCTACTGGTACTATGAAAAAGTCTCTCTTGCATTCAAGAGCTTAGAGTAGATGCAGCATATTCACTACCAACAAAAACCTTCAGAAAAGACAACTACACAAAATTCTGGCTCTATTTTTTTTGGTAAGTACAGCTTTCAGTTTGTAAATCAGTTCGGGGGGTTTAATGAACTTTCATTAAGGAAGTTTGGAGAAAAAAAAAAAAAAACACAAATCACACACCCATCTCAATTCAGGGAAGCTCCTACCTCGGCCAGGCTTACACAAAGTCACATCTAATTCTAAGTCCCCATTACAAAAGATGACAGTTACAGGCTTTCTCATAAAAACAGTTTAAAGAAAATTGTTCATTTGTTTTCACAAAGTGTTCTTTCTTCATCTCATTCACTAATACTCTGCAGGATTTCAGCTGAAAGCCTCTCTCCTAAAAATTCTGCCTTAGACTTACAATCAACACAAACAAAATTTTAACCCAGGCAGTCTCAGTTAAGCCACTGAAAAGCAAGTACGGGGCAGTTTAGCTACAGATCTTGCTACACTGATGACACAATAAATGAAAAAGTACCTTATATCCCACAGCTTTGGGGGGAGGAGGAGAGGCCACAGAAATAAATTATCAAAAAAATATGCAATCTAAAAATACACGATGACTTAGGAGACAATGCTTTCATGAATCAAGAAAGCAAACTATCACTATTAACAGTAATGGAAATAAATTCCCTTTCTGCACTTGCAGATACATAATTTTTATGTCACTCATCAATACCACAATGTCTGTTTAGATCCTGACTTGTGTTCACAAATGTCAAGTTATTCATTTACTTCAAACAGTATTCTAGGATAGATCTTTTTCCACTGTTTGTCGGATGAATTTAACACATTCTCATTTTTGTCTAGTTAACTGTAACACACTGAAAGAAACTGAAGTAGCATTGCTTTCAAAATAAGGTGATACAACCAAATGCACGGCATATTTAGAAGACATAGTTGTTCTTTTTCAAAGGAATTTAGACACAAATGTTGTCTGGCATTATCCTAATTGCACAAGCAAGTTTCCATAAAGTAATACAGAGAAATCTTTGTTGTGCTATTTCAGTACACAATACAAAACAAATGTGTGCTAAATTTAGTACTTGTTCCTAATACAACATAATAAAGACCATTTTTATTCGTCCTTTCCTGTGCAATCTTTCCTCTTTCATTAAGGAAATTCTTAATATAGCTTTCATACTTCTAGGTAATTAGACTTTACATTTTAGATTTTACATTTACATAATAAAAATCCTTCAAAAACTTATGATATGACTGAAAACAAACCCCTGGGCTTGAAGCGTCAATAAGTGACCGACATCATGTGAGACTGTAGATTAGATGATCATAATTCACCTTGCCCTAAAATCTCCCCTTGCTCTAAAATACAAGACTCTCCCAAACTTTGGAGTGATAGGCAAGTACTGTTTCCACCAACTCAAAAAGTATTAACTCAAATAGCTTTAATTCATATTCAAGACTGTATTTCAGAAGTAACACAGTGGCACGTAAGACAGACGCTTACGGTGAGGATAGGTTAATGCCCTCATTTTCTTGAAATTATCTGAACTACATTAGCACTTGTCTTCTTTCTTTCTAAATTCTTGCAGATAAGAGAAGACCACACTACAATAAAAACCCAATAATATTTAGATTAAGTTTTCCTTTGTCTTCCAATCAAAGATCACTTTATCTTTCCCTTCTGAGTTTGTAAAGCAGCTAACATAATAAGCTACAATGTTATGGAAATATACACAAGCAGCAAAAAGAGCTCACCACGTACCCTATCTCTTTGGCACCATGATGTCAACAGAAATTTTACACACAATCTAGTTACCAAGTTCATAGGTAGTTCTGTTACCTCTGGTACCATTGTGACTTCACATAAAAGTTGTCAAAAGTGCTTAAAAGGTTTTCCCATAAAACAATATTTAAATATTAACTCTGAAGTTCAATTACAAAATATTTTCTTGAGTAGTTTTTGTACAATGTGGCACTTATGCATAGATGGAAAATTTCTTGGAATGCTTTATCTTCTAGTAGTTGAATCATCCAAGATAAAAAAAAAAACTAATATCAAGATTTTATTAGATTTAATCTTCAACTAAAGATAGTTGTTATAAAATCGACTGGCTATTCAAAGAGTGACATAATTATGTACAAAAGTTACATTGTACCTAGAAGGTTGAACCTGAGTACAAACTAGTACTGGTCTTTCACTACGGAACTGGTATTGCCAAAAAAAAAAAGGGGGGAGGGGGAGCGTGGAAGCACAGGGGAAGGACAGACCCTAAGAGTTATTGCAGTAACATTCAGCTGAGTTTAACAAGAGCATATAAAACATACGTAAAAACATGCAAAGTATTTTCAGGTACTGAAACGTTCTCTTTGGGTTTGATAAATCTTCTGTGTCAACAACTATATTACATTTGATTTCAAAAGGCACTGGTTCCATCTCGGTCCCAAAAATAAAGTAAGATCTTCCAGAAGACAGACAGCAGTTTCCAATCTGTTCTCATCTGTTCTTTGGGATTCTGTTTGGTGGCCCATACAAGCACAACACGAGATGGGAACGCTAACATCAGCTGAAGCGCAAGGAGTGAGGGGAGAAAGCAGAGACCTGTTGCCAAATCTGAGGTGCTTTGTCCAGGTAGTTTGGCACCTATGCTAATGTTCCCAAATAATCGTGTATCCACAAAAGCTGGAATTCTCTGAAAATATTTCAGGCTTCAGACACAGATATCCAGGGTACGTGCATTTGTATCCACAGCCTAAAGCATGAAATTAAGGCTGCATTCATGCCAGATAAGGAGCAGGAAACCAGGCTGGTAACAGCCCCGGACAAAAAGCAGAGCAGAGCGGCTAAGGTGACTAACTTTGGATACTATGAATCCTCCACGCAGAGAACCCAAATAAAATAATATATGCTTGTAATTTTTAGAGACTTTAGCTTTTCAAGGGAGCTCCCTGCCAGCCGCAAAGGCTTGGGGATGTTGTATTACCACATACTACATACTCCAAGAGTTTTGTTGAGCAGGCATAAAGCAGCATCCCTTCCACAAAAAATGAGAAAGACACCCTAAATACAGTCTGTGGGTCCAGACAAGTTCCAAAGAATAATAAAAGCCAAATTAAGATCACTACGTTTCATATAAACACACAGCCAAATAATGTACAAAAAAAAAAAGAAAAAAATCCGAGCTAAATTTTGCTTTCATTGCATATTCACATCCCCATTCAAGCTGCTAAGACATGAGCACAAGTACATATGGCAACATTTGCCTCTACAAGAGCCACGACATTAACAGATTGCACTGGATATTCAGGTACCCAGCTGGTACCCAGGCAGACAAAGATGAAACCAAGGATCACCTACCAGCAAACTGCATCTGTTTGAAAGGAAACAACATTGGTGACAGCAGCAAAATCCTAACAGTGCCAAGTTAATGTGGCAAGTTTGATACACCCTTCCCAAGTCATCATTTGTTATTATGACAAACTTTCTCTCTACACAGTAGAGCACCGGAACAGTTTACCCAAAGAGTGCGTTTTCCCAACCAATACAGGAGATTTCAGTACTCAACTGCAGAGAACCACAAGCTAATCTGACATAATGCTGGTAACAGCTCTGCTCACAACAGGAGATTGGACTAGAGGACCTCCAGAATTCCCTTCTGATCAACCCTTCTTTGCTTCCATAATATATGCACTAAAAAAAGTCTTTGAATATTCACAGGAGGAACACATCCTGCACAACTGAAGTCCCGTATCCACACTGGCTACATGGACAAGCTGTACCAAGAAAATGAGAAACTAAAAGTCTCGAGAGAAAATACAGAGGCCACCATCTACTTGAGGGGAGACAAATCAGGCTCTTTACAGAAGCACAGAAAATAGGGCAGGATCGCTTGAAAGACTGTCTCCTCTTCCAGAATAGGATCAGAGATACTTAATTAACCATAAATGTTTCTTTCACATTTTAAAAGGTCTCCCCTGATAAAGACCATGCAGCCTCCTCAGTCTATACCTCATAATCTCATTAAAATGTGAGAAAGTTTTCCTTGATGTCCAGTCTAAGTCTCCCCAGGTGGAACGTATTCCATTATTTCCTGTCTCACCCATATAACCCTTGTCCTATCTTGTCTCACTTTATTTTATTCAAAATTGAAAACCACATTCGCTGTCTTTTATTCTTCTTTCAGTGGCCATATTGTCTAAGCCTCCCGTTATCTTTTGCTGCATTTCTCTCAGCCCCTTCAGTTGGGCTACATCTGGACACAGGACTTTAGCTAAGACTCGCTACACCATGCACAACACAAAACAGCTTTATCCATCTCACAATGAACTCCTTAAGCTGTCAACTCAGATAAGCATAGAAGGAAACAGTCCCTCTGCTAAGACTTAACCAGTTCATACCAACCGCAGGCTCCAAATTCCATATCAAGTGTTCTACTTGGTCAAACCTGTCTTTTTAAGGCTAAGTTTTACAGAGCCTCTGATTGAATCCACACAAACCAGATGACCAGTTGACTCTGTCCCTCAATTTCTCTTCAGTTTAGATACAACTGGGATGTTGAAAACTGGAGTCACAAAACAATACAGAGAACACAAACCTGTGTTTAGTATGCATAATTAAAGAGAGATCCTGCTTTACCTTGTGATATTTTGCATTAGTTACTATAAGCAATTAGTAAATATGACTGGAAAAACAAAATCAAATTAATGTTCGTATTGTTAAACAATGGTTTTTAAAAGAAACATGTCCACAAAAAAGCCTTTCTCTTCACACCCCATAACTTACAGAATATGCAAAGAATTAGCATTCATTACTAAACAAACAGCATGGAATTAATGCAAGAATAACTAAATGCAGGGGGGAAAAAACCAACTTGCATAAGAAGAAAAACAGTGAGTACTAAATGAACGTTTATCTGTGTAGACCAATGTAAATCATTTAATCAACTTCTTTTAACTCAAAGACACAGACTGTAACTACTGTAAACATAACATACCTGTTCAAGCACATCCAACTTCAGTTCAAGCTTACTAAGCACAACATCTCCTCCCCAGAGCGAGAGCTGCAGATCTGAAGGCTTCAAGTTCTTTATGTAGCGATTGACATAACTCAGCAAAATAGGAGTCACATAGGACTCCAGCATTCTGGAAGATTTCTGCACTACAGGTCACTAGGAAAAAAAAAGACAAGACAGTAAGACATTATTTAGAAATCTGCCAGCCTAATTTTCAGTGAAACAACAGCCACACTGCTTGGATGTATAAAAAATTATACTGCAAATTCTGCTTTCTAAACATGTACGTCTATATATAGGCATACATATACTTACATATAAAGATGAAATACATACAAACATGAAAGCTCATCTATTTGTATTCACAGATTTCCAGCTTTTATACACATATATAGAGAGACAGGAACTAGTAACTGGCTTGCTCACTATCAAAAGAAAAGCCAACCCAAACAAACCTAAAACCAGAGAAGGAGGTCAAGCAGCCTACCGTGCTGTCACACGAAGTTTAAACGACAGAAACCCCGTCGGGTTTAACTGACAAAAGCCCACCCTAAACCCACCCCTCCCCTCCGGACACGCCTCGCCGACCCGACGCCTTCAGCACAGCGCACACGGCGCAGCACCGGCTCCCTGACATCCCTAACGCCGAGCACACCAACACCCTGCAAAACCCGAGCGGAGCTT